TAACATTTTATAATGCATAATTGAAAACTCCAGATTTGGCTATTGCAGAACAGAATCGGTTTTAAATGTATCTTCGTTATAATACGATCATTGCTAGTACGTACTGCGACTACTCGATGATCAGTAAACTACTTTCAAGTTAAGACATACGTAAAAATGCTCTATTTAACAATCAGTTTATACAATACGTTAAATGTAACAATTCGGAAAAACGCAAGATTAGTAAGTGAATGTCGCAAGTAATATTTCGTTTTAACAGCAACATCGTGTTGTTCACTAGCCAGTTTTTTATTAATGAAACAATTTATTCTAAATGTGAAAATAAGACACAATGTATTTAAAAGATTGAATTTAAGGAAACATTCAGCTCAGTAATCGCTGTTTTGTTCATGTGCAGATCTGGGGGCCGAATTCTGATGCATCACGCTTGAGAATCGTTTAGCCTATCGCGTAAAAATGCAACTCAACCCATCGATTTCTTTAACATACCTCAGTGCCATCAAATAGAATTAATCATAAAGCTAACAGGAAACTAAATTAAAGAGAAGACAAAAGCGCTGTAAGTGTAATATCACTTACACATCCCTACTCCGTTTATAAGCCGAAAGCCTTTAGAGCAAAAATGCTCGCATAAAATCGAACGTTTCACGTCGCAGCTTCCGAACCAATGCAGCAGGGATCCGCTCCGTCCATTAACATGCGGTCGCATTTTTCACGAAAACGTTTTCTCCTTCAGTTGAAAGAATTAAAACGTCAATTCCAACAATAATCAACGGCATTAAATAAAAAGAAATCCTTTTTACATCCCAGTTTTTTTATATATATAAATCACTAGCTGCTACCCGCGACTACGTCTATGTAGAATAGGCTGAAGGCGTAACACTCGGACAGAAAGACAATAATTTATATACATAAAATATGTTTATAAATTATAGCCTATGTCTTAATCTGATGTATAAGCTATATTATTGTAAAGTTTCATTAAAATCCATTCAGTAGTATTTGCGTGAAAGAGTAACCAACATCCATCCACACATACAAACTTTCGCCTTTATAATATTAAGTAAGGACTAAGGATTGAACGACCATTAGGCTGGAGATCTATCAGTCTTGGGACTATGAAGTCGCGGTTAAATGGCAGTGGTGTGGGCCACAAGTTTAATGGTTTATTTATTGGTTTATTGAGTACAGTACAGTAACAGTACAGTTATTATAACTAAGTGTGCAACTATCAGCCAATCAGCTCTCCAATCAGCCAATTGGTAAGAAACAGCTCAGAAGTGAGAGCAGTGGTGTCTATCGTGTCACATACTCTTGAAGACACGAAGTGCGCTCGGCCTTGCATGTCGGATTACGTTCTAAACGAGCCTCAAGTTTTAAAAATCTAGAACGAGCAATGTCCCGTGTTTCACCAAGAGGTGGTGCATCGGTTTTAAATGGTAAAGCGCCCACGTATCGACCCGTTTCGTTACGATTATGTGTCCGTGAAAATATAAATTCATATAAGCTTTCATTCGTATAAACTATTTCATAAGCTTTCGGAAAATGAGCCAAGACAGGTGTGTCTTAGCTCATTTTCCTGGATGGATGGAGTCACAACACAATCGATTGTTATTCGAGGTTGTCCAAAAATAAATAACCGAATATACTATTTATAGCTATCGGTGAACCGGGCTGCCCCTTATTTACTAATAATACATGAGATAGTATATCCGCTCCTAGCAGCATTTCAACTGGCTGCGGTAAATGAAAATTAGGATAAGCTAATTTTAAATTTTTAATATGTGCTCCCCTACCCCGTATAGGGTAGAGGCCTCTCAGAGACGCTAGAAACCTCATACAGAAACGCTAGAATGTCGCCGTTTTAAACCTAAACGATTTATAAGAGCTTCCGTTATAAACGAAGCCTGGCTACCTGTGTCGATTATACATCGGATCGTAGATCGCTTTTGTTTATTTATGTATACATCGACGAGCGCGGTAGACAAGAGTACGGTTTTCGTAAACATCGAATACGCATTGGACAGCGCGCAAGCATCGGGAACACGAGTCGAATTTATTGACGTCGTCATTGCTACACGAGTATCAGCCGATGGTCGCTCGTCTGCGTGATTCACGGGAGAGAGTGAAATGGAACTACTTTCCTCTGTTATGACCGACAGCGCTTGAGATTCAAAACAAGCCCATATTATATTAATGATAAACAAAACCGACTTCAAATATCTCGCTCTGTGTTCATTTTATAATTGATTTTCAGGAGCTCCCTAACTATCTCCGGAGCCCAGGATCCAATACCAATGAAATTAATATGGGACCACATGGGAAGCCAGCTTTCAAATAAAAGAATCATCAAAATCGGTGAACTCGGTCGAATGTTTTGAGGTAACAAACAGGACAAAAAAAACAGTCGAATTGAGAACCTCCTCCTTTTTTATGTCGGTTAATGAATCAAACTGCGATGACGCTTATGACACGTCAGACAAACATAAATAGACTCAAAATTTGTATATATCTGTTGGCGCTGGCAACACTGTATACCGGATATGACGTTATCTACTCGAGCCAAGGGACACATGGTCGTATGGAGCAGCGGTCACTTGGATTTCGGCCGCGTTCCCCAAAGAGAATGTAATCACTACGTTTACGTGGCGTTCCCCGACGGTGATATAACACCACTAGTGCTGCTTGTCGTCATAAAAAGTTGTTAATATTCATGTTCAGTAATAGTTAAAATATTAGGATCAAGGTAAAAACGTTAGAACTCGTATATATCTTGTCCCAAATTAAGGCAATTAAAACAAACATTTTTACCTTTGAGAAAGGTGTATCTTTCCCTAGGAGATAAGTTTTAAAAAGTCAGGACATTTTGTCAACGAATGTTGAGTTTCACATTTTACGCAATGCTTATCTTTGTTTTCTTGTACGTAGAATCGTTTAAATTATTCGAAGTGACATTACTTGCGAGTACTCGACGCGCCGTGCAGTAGAGGCGTTGTCTTCGCGCGCCCTCGTAGTGTTCGACGATGCCTAAGTTTTATTCAACTACCCGCGTTCGTAAAAAACGCAAGCCAAAACTTAGCGTAGTCATTAAACTATTTACGAATGGCCAACTGTTCCTATTATCAAAGTTCTATTGTTTCAAACAGGATTTATCGCTCTTTGATTAAATTTTCCTAAATTTACGTTTCTGAAAAAGAACATCTTTTGAAGATCTTCTTACCTATAAGAATCTACAATTTGTAAAGTATGTTTTACTTCTTCTAAAACGATATAGCGTTCGAAAATGTCGTGTGAATGCAACAAAGAATCCGCCATGTTGTAAGAAACGTAAGCAACGGAATGAAATAAGAAAATAATGTAAATTAACGAGAGATACATTGAAAATTCGGCTCGAATGATCAAAAATTTTATGTTCAAGAAAGAGCTAAGGGTCTGGTAACTCACCGAGCTCGCCTTGCACTGGCTCACGCTGATGGGGCTCGGCGAACTGGTTTGCTGATTCGGTTTCTCGAAAGGATATGATCCTGTCTCTCCGAATAGTCCTTCCACAGGACAGTATTGCACTAGCACAGTATTCTTCGGGTATTGTTCGTACTCGTCGTAATGACGAGACACGCGGTAATTTTGAAAATCAAAAGTTGTTAACGTTCGCAACGTCAATATGTACTAGTCACACGGCCAATCAGAGGCGAGCGCGGTTTTCAGTGTTGAAAAGGATTATTACCAGACCAAAAAATATAAAAAAATCTTTAGGGATGTTTTATCTTATTTTTATAATAACGAAAACTAAAATAAATTACGAAAAATTGTTTCGATACGAAAACCATGTTATAGGATAGAACTACTAGTATAAAACAAAGTCACTCTGTCCCTATGTATGTTTAGATCTTTAAAACTACGCAATGGATCTTGATGTGGCTTTTTTTTTATAGATAGAGCGATTCAAGAGGAAGGTTTGTATGTATAGTGCATTGCACCCGTGCGAAGCCGGGGCGTGTCGCTAGTTAAATGATAAGCGCCGCCCATTGACATTTGCAGCACCCTTAGGGTTGCAGATGCTTTACCACCTTTTATTAAAGAGGGCCCCGGCTACCTCACTCACTAGACGAAACAAGGCTATCAACAAGGCAATGGCTACAAATGTGACGGTATTACAAGCGTTTGTAGTGGTTGTACTGTAACCCAGACTGAAACGGAATGGCAATTTAGTGAAATGAAAACAAAATAAGTAGTTGAAAATATCTATATTTAGTATAATATCTTTGATAACATATTTACTATATTAATTAATTTAATATATTAATATTTAATATTTCATTTATCAATTACAAACGTACAAACGTTCCAATATAAAATATGTATAAGTAAAGTACACAGAGCAGCTAAGAGCTGAGTGGCTGGCCTTTCACTTGCTTAAACTGAAACGGATAACTTATTAAACGGGAAGTAAGTTGTACGTATTACAAATCCATTAAGACCATTTTTTAAGTTAACCTTTCGTTGCATGTATATTGTGTGGAATATTTTGAAAAATCTGTGATTTTACATTCGAATAAACTGTAGACTATTATTCTCTTGGATAGAACTAATTTTTTTTTGTTTTTCTTGTTAATGCAAGAATGGTTGATTGAATGTTTTCATTATTACATGCTTTATATGAAAGAATATCTGAGCATAATGTAAATGGAAATATTTGAAGAACTTATGAGCAACAGGAAATAATAATTACAAATTCAAGTAAACGTTTAGGAAATTGATAATAACTGTATAGAAGAAGTAACAAGTAATTATTAAAAACGGACAATTTAGCTATTTTCTAGATGCAACCAAATCACATTTGCATTCATTACAATCAATGCAAAACGCACATACATTACATAAAGACTGTTGCAATTTAATTTTCAGCATGACGTGGGGCAAAGGGGCTGGAGGAACGGTATTCAAGCGCCTCAGGAATAATATGCGGGGGTGGTGTTTGTATGTGGATGTGGGTGCAGTCACCGCTGGCGCGGGGCCAGCTGCAGCTGCGCGCTGGCCTGCAGCAGCAGCTTGAGGCCGGGCAGGAACGAGGCGGCGGCCGCGAAGTCGGCGCCCGACGCCAGCGCCGCGCTCTGCTGCAGCGCCGACGCCCACTCGCCCTGAGCGGCCAGCTCGGCGCACGCACACAGCGCCCCGCGCGCGCCCTCCGACAGCTGCGCACACGCACACATTTGTCTAGACAACAGGATAGGGGAGAGTGCACTGCCCTTAGGAACACTAGTCACAACATTACCACCACACGAAGGCGATGATTACTCACCAGACCGCAATTGCCTACAGTGACCAAGTTACCTTATACTCTCGCAACAGATCGTATAGCGTCTCCAACCTCCTCTGAATATCCTCCAGTTTTCTCTTCATTTGCTGCGAATGAAAAAGATATTTAACAAACGTTAAAACCCACACCATAAAATAACAATACAATTTATTCTGAGGACAAGCATTATCCAACGATATCAATAATTCTTTCTACTTCCTAATTTATATTTAGGTATGAAAAAAAAATTACAATATTATAAAATTAAAATTAATTAAACAGAATTGAAGCAATACAAAATATAAATAAAACTATTGTAATAAGGACAAATATTTTAAATTACAAAAATATTAAGTCAAAACTATGGGTAATCACAAACCGAGAAGGATAAAATATTAAACAAAAGCCAATTAATACTTCTCTAAAATTCCAACGCCCTTTTTATAGCTTCCCTTTTGCCTTTATGTTGCAAAGGGCTATATAATTCCCGATTTTTACATAAATATTCTCAATTTCAGTCCCAAGTACCCATTTCTGAAGCTTCATCGGTCACTGGGCTACAAAAATGGCAGGGCTCGGAGACTCTGTGGTAGGGCCACGCAAGTGTTCGATGCTGCACGAATGGGCAGATCCATTTTAATTACTGCGACCTCACAGAAGACCAGCGTGAATGGAAGAATTACACTTAAGCATTTCATCCAGTGAGTGAGGTAGCCGGGGCCCACTTTATCGGGTGTTGTAGTTTTCCTCGGTCGGTGGTTATGACTTAACGTCAGGTGAACCACCTGCTTGACAAGTTTGACATAAACAAAAACTCACAGGATTTGTGGCTTTGCTGAGGCACTCGTTCCTGAGCGAGTCGAAGACCGCTTGAAGGGGCGCGAACTGCTCGGGCAGGGGAGGCTTCTGCACGGCCACTGGCTCAGGAGCCGGTGGCGCCACCTGTCGGCGATAATAGCATAGTCACTACACAGTATAAAGCAAAGTCGTCCCGCTGTCTGTCTGTCCATATGTATGCTTAGATCTTTAAAACTACGCAACGGATCTTGATGCGGTTTCTTACTAGATAGTGATTCAAGAGGAAGGTTTATATCTATAATACAATGCACCCGTGCGAAGCCGGGGCGGATCGCTAGTTATATAATAAATTTCACTTATATTTATTTGGAATTTTTTTTTAAAATATTAATTAGCGACAGTACTTATCTGCTCTCTAACTATAATATTTTGTTTGGCTTGTTATTGTCTGTTTGTCATCTTGTTTAGGGTTAGTTAGGTTTAAGTAAGAATAGCTGTAAATGTACCATATCTTAAATAAATAAATAATATTTTAGAACACATTTTTACACAACATTCTCTAGTCTCAAGCTAAGCAACGCTTGTATTATGGGTACTAGCGTTGAATATAATATTTAGTAATTGAGAATATAATATTTAGAACTTAAAAATAATTTTATTTTGTATATAAATACATATTGTGTATATATAAACACCCAGACACTGGAAAAACACCATGTTCACACAATATTTTTCCAGTAGTGGGGGATCGAACTACACCAGTACTGTGCTAATCGGATGAATTGTTCGATAAATCATTGCTAACAACAATATTTCACATCCCATTAAAACGAAGAAAAAAAAGTTAAGCTTGCACAAAACTGTATTGTCTCACTTAATCTACTTAGAATATAATCATTCCTTATTTCTATGCGAACGAACACTTCAAAATTGTCGAATAACTAAACTAAAAAATTGTTAAATAAAATTTCTTTACGCATTTTGTTACGGATTTAATATATAAGAAATGATAATATCACCCTTAATTTTAATAACAATAAATAGTGATAATTTTTCTGGAAATTTTATTATTAAAATAATCAGTAAATGCTTCCGATACTAATAAATGTTAATGTAATTCTTAAATTCAGATTTTATTTTACGTTTAGAGACGATTAAGATGAAATTCCTACCGACTGAACATAGGGTTGTTGCGTCTGTCCGTATTGGTTATAGGCGTTTGCTCTTGGTAGGCTGCGTAGGGTTGTGCTGGTTGCATGGGTTGCGTAGCTTGCATTCCTTGCATGTGTTGCATTCCTTGCATGGGTTGCATTCCCTGCATGGCTTGCATGGGTTGCATTCCCTGCATGGCTTGCATGGGTTGCATTCCCTGCATGGCTTGCATGGGTTGCATTCCCTGCATGGCTTGCATGGGTTGCATGGGCTGCATGGGCCCCTGCAGAGGGACGTGCTGTGGCGGCTCCACGCCGAAGAGGGGGTGTGTGATCGGCGGCTGGGCAGTCACCTCTTGCTTGGCCTGAAAAATTCAAAATTAGCAATTGAATTTGAAACTGACATTCGTAATTACATATTACCCTTAAGCATTATAATGTTTGTTAACGCCCTACGTTGGAATCAGGTACCTAAATCTTGCTTGTATCTTACTTTGTTATATCTGGTGTTGTATTGTAGCAAAGCTTTGAATAATCGTTTCGAAAAATACGCTTTGTGAATAATATCTCAATCGATTAAGTTATTTGTAAATTATACGTTTGTTAACAGACACAAGCGTTTATCTCTCGTATAAAATTAATGATGTGATTTGCTATGCTTATTACTTAAGGATCACGAAGAAAAAAAATAGAGACGATAACGGAAAAATCAACCAAAACGAAAATAAATAATAAAACAATGAAGTGAGATTTTTTTTTCTTCACTATAGGCAAAAAAACAATATGAAGAGCATGAAGGAAAACACAGTCTAAATTCATTTCAAATGGCGATGGATAGGAGTAAAACCAAAACGCATGCCTGATGGGTGAGTTACGAAAGAAAAACGAACCGTAAATTATACGATTAAGGGATTAGACGATATAAGGGGTGAGATTGTGGTTTTTTTTCTCTTATATAGCTTACAAATTCTGTCCGAGTTTAACGGTTAGTTCGAATGTCTCGTCTAGAACGTATTAGGTTACGGTCTGCGCTAGGGTTAGATCGCTCGGGCACAACCACGCATGAGCCTGCAAAGGCCGAGGTCACAACTGGTGCAAACTATCCTCTCCTGAAAGGACCTCAGCGCGTGCGCGCGCCCAGCGCCGAGTGCCGGCGTGCTCGGCGGACATGTTGGCGCACATGTTGGCGGACATTGTTGGCGCACAAGTGCGAACTAGCCTCGGCCCCCAGCTACAACGTGCACGCAACGTTTAGCCCGTTCGGATCCGCTCATCCTAGAAGCTCTAGGAAATCTCGTTTGCAAAAATATTCTTCTTTTACGGATCTTGATGCCATTCTACAAAAATTGGTCATGACGATACCAAAGTTATATACCTTCATATACCTTTGTAAGTTTTAATTCATTTGTGTTTAAGAAGTAATAATAAAAATAATTTTTGGAGAAAATCGTTCGAAATTCGCAAGGAAGTTGCGGAGATACTTAAGGATAAACTGAAATAAAATTGAATTAAAAGTGCAACTGTAATTACAACTACTTTTACATTTTCAATTAGTAAATTATTGCAATAAAGTGACGCCATCTATCTCAGTGTTGACAGAAGCGGAACCGTAAGCAATCACCTTGGGCTTGGAGGTCATCATGGGCGGGTCGTTCCAGCCGGGGGGCACGGGGCGGGCGGGGGGCGCGTCGGCCGGGTAGCCGCCGTTGGTGGCGGGGTTGTGCGGCGCCGGGCTCGTGGGGTTCAAGGGGGCGGGGCTCATGGGGCTCATTGGGTTCATGGCGTTCATGGGGTTGAGGGGCGCGGGGTTTATGGGGGCGATGGTGTTGGCGGGCGCGGGGACGCTGGCCGCCCCGTAGTGGTCGGGCAGCGGGCTGTTGTAGCCCGCGTAGTGCTGCGGCTGCGTCGTGACCGGCTGCGCGCCATATTGGCCGCCGTATTGGGCACCGTACTGGCCGCCGTAGCTGCCGTAGGCGGGTGCGGCCCGGACCGAGGGGTCCACTTTGTATTTCGAGCGGCCTGTAATACCGCCACCTGTGGACAAATCGTATATGTCAATACACCTGTCTCGTACACGTTGTTTGGACATGTCTCGTAGCAATGCGCGTACCGGCTGGCACGGGGCCGGCAATGGGCGGCGTGGGCGCGGCGGGGGGCGGCCTCAGCGCCCGCTGCGCCTGCCAGCTGCTGGCCTCGCTGCCCAGCGGCACCCCTGCAACCCGAACTGCTCGGTTAGCCTCCACTAAATTATCGTTTCCTTAATGACTCTATACTTAACGTGAGTAAATTGTAATTGATAAATTAGATGAAGGAAAAAAAGTGAAAAGAAAAGACAAGTAAAAACGACGACCAGAGTTGCCAAGGTAAACTTCGACGCCAAGGGCCGTATTATGGTTCAATTCCCATTTGAAACTTTTGTGTTAGCCATAAATAATTTATCCATATCTGGGCATTTGTCCCAATGAAGTTTATGTATATAAGACGTACAGAAAGTAAGGGGTGATATTTTCGAAGGAAAGACTACGATAGACGTAATGAGTCGCAGTGGTCGTTGGGACTTACTTCTACCCGACCCGATGGGGAAGAAAAGATTTCGAAAGGCAGCGTTGAACTGGCCATCGCAGTGTAGGACAACTTCCCGCTAGATGCGGGTGGCTCAAGATCTTGGCCTGCGTTCAGCAGTGGACCCCTTCCCCGCCCAATGCAATGGAAGCACCTACCAGAGCCGAAGGCGCCAGAGCCGTCGCCGTGCGCGCTGCGGCCGCCCGACGCCACCTGCCGACACGCGACGGTTTTATTATTAATTAAACACCTATTTTTCTTCGTGAGAGTGATAAAGTCGAGTCAAGCACAAGACAAGTCAAGCTTTCAAGGGAGCCTTGAAATCATACAAAATATAGCAATACACTCCTTCGCACAGAAGAATTACTTAAGTGCACCAGTCACCATTTAATGACTACTTTCTACAGCTCCTTTTAAATCTTTCATCGGCATCAAAGTTAATTTCTTTTTCAAACTCTTTTTTATGGTTCCGTTAACATATAAATAAATTTAATATATATAGATATGATTTTTCACCTAAGTAACATGCTTATAAGCGACAACATTATTATACATATGTCGCTATATTATAATTGCATATAACAATACATGTTGATGATAGACTAAGGCCTCATTACAAATTTGACCATGACTGATTTGAAATAGGTGGACATCATACACTATTATTTCAAAGTCCATGAATCTACTTGAGATGATTCTATTTCGTAGATCATAAGGCCGCTAAGAAAGTCATAATTTATGTCAATAACACAAAGCCCAATGAATTTTTATGAGTATATGTCGCTCACAAAATTACAAACTATAAATTGGAAAAATGCACAAATCAATAGTTCCTATGCAGACCGTTGCCATGCAGACAGATTTGTTAAAGGGGCTTGCACCTGTTGCTGCTGGTAGTGCTGGTAGTGGTTCTGCTGGTGGGTCTGCTGCTGCTGCTGCTGCAGTTGGTGCTGCTGCTGCGGGTGCTGCTGTAGCGCAGCACGCAGACGCTGCGCGAGCGGGTGCTGCGTGTCCTGCAGCACTGCGATGGCGCTCTGCAGACAGCCCTGCTCCGCGAGCCGGCTCGCATACTGCACCAGCGAAATGTCCACCTCCTCCGCCTACGGGGAACAACTTATTATTCTTAATACATACGTAAATAATAAATGTCTCGGTAGTATCGTTGCTAAGCTATTGGCTTCGTCGTCGGGGGTCGTGGCTTCGATTCCCACACGGGACACGTAGTATTTTGCTGAGCCACAGATAATTGTTTCGGATCTGGGTGTTTGTTCCCAGGGAGGCTTGACTTCAGGCAGGGGGCCGGTCGTAATAACCTAGACAAAACCACTAACAACATGATAGTTGTGCCGAACCCACCAAGGTGTGATAAGGGCAGGATGATGATGATGATGATGATATAAATAAATAAATATTTCGGAATATGTTATCTAGTCCTGAACAAAGCACAGCTTGTACTATGTGTCATTTTTTATGTTTACATAAACGGTTCAAATATGAAAATGCTTCATAGTCTATTCCTATTACTTGAGTTTTCGGTTGTAGCGCTCGCAAGCAAATCGAATCGAAAAAAGTACAGTTATGAGCGTGGTCATTTCACGCGTTTAATGGAATGTTAAGGGAAGACGAGTCTGTAACGCGTTGCTTCGTTTGTGTGCACGCTGCCTATTAGCCGCACCTGCACGGGGCGCCCCCTGGCGGCGGCGGCGCAGCGCAGCAGCAGCGCGCGCTCGGCGCGCCGGGCCAGCTCGGCGGGGTCCGCGCAGAGCTCCCGCTGCGGCGGAGCGCGCGCTGCGCACGCGTAGCACAGCGTGGCCGCCGCGCGCAGCGACGGCTCCGACTCGCGGCTCAGCTTCTCGCCCAGCATCTCTGGAAAATGGAGATTCATCATTCTATATGATTATGAACATGTCTCAAGCGTTTCTCCGTTTAAATCTAGAACATAAGAAAGAGCTTCAGGTTAATGTTGTTCTATTCGATATATTTACATATGTCTAAGTTGTCGCCTGACAAGTTTGCACAGGGTGAGGCGAATGAGTAACAACTGGTAATTTTGTTTTGCACAAAAATCCCCACATTAATTAAATTATGATGTGAAACTAATGTTATAATCCTAATTAGCTAATCGACAATTTCATCCCTGCGAGACAGGTTGCTACCTAGTGCAGGGTTCAGTATGCAAATGTGAACACGATGATGTTTTTGTTCTCTACTATTTGTTTAAATAAAGCTTTATTATTATTATTTTGTTTATACATGTTGTATATCTCAAAATATTTAAGATAATTCGGTATGATCAAGATCACGGGCCTAAGCCAAGTGAGCTTCATCTTATGTTTCGGGTGGATTATTCAAGTCTTCCTGTAAAAATTTGCGTACAATTCAGCATGTGTTTAGGATTACTGCTTTTTGCATGTGTTAAAACTACATTTTTTAACCCACAAATTTATTGAAAGTAACAGCGAGAGTACAATTTATTGATTACTGTCACTAACGTCATATCAATTTTTTTTTCTTTTTCTGTTATTAATAAAAACAGGTTGTAAAGTCAATATAGTCGAATGATTGTAACCAGATAAGAAGAATTTTACATTAAACAGCATGGTTATGTAGGTGTTTTCAGATATATCTAAAATTTTTAAAGATTGAAGTAGATGTTTGGGTAGATTATTATTATTATTATAGGGGGATATTCATTTGTTTTCTCGTCTGGTTGGGTTTATAAATAAAAATTATTATTATTATTATAAAGAAATTTTCGTAACTACGGTCTGTACAGATAGTCAGCATAGGCCAGTGCCAGTCAGTACCTAACTCTTGTAGTAAATGCTTGAGTGCCAAAAAATGCAAGTTAACTCGAGTTTTATTTAATTATTTACAACATATCAACAATACCACATTCGCGATCCCAGTGCGAAGCGGAAACAATCACTGTCGAGTTTACAGTGCGGGGGCACGGGTGAGGGAGGTTGTAGGGGGAAGGAGGGGGAAGGAGGGGGGAAGGAGGGTGGAAGTGGGGTCGTGCCTAAGGCGGGGTGGCTCACCGCAGTGGCTGGGCAGCGCGGCGTCGTCGCAGTGCGCCAGCAGCGCGGCCAGCGCGTGCTTCCAGCTGCGCGGCGCCGCGGCGTCCACGAGCCGCCGCCAGTGCGCTTGCGCCACGCTGCCGGCCAGCAGCGACACGGGGTCGCGCGCCGTGGCCGCCAGGTGCCACCGCTGCACGCGCCGCACCAGCTCCTCGCTGCCTGCACCCACACACGCACTTCAGCCCCGCCCCGGCCGACGCACATCGCCGGCGGCCCGCAGGGCCCCGGCCTAGAGCCACTCTTATTCCTTATTATAAAGTGATCTAATCACTTCATTATATTCTTCATTACATAGTAGGCATAAAACAAAGGCGTCTCGCTTTCTGTCTATCCCTATGTATGCTTAGAACGAAACAACGGATCTTGATGCAGTTTTTTTTTTTACTAGATAAAGTGATTCAAGAGGAAGGTTCATATGTAGAATGAATTGCACCCGAGCGAAGCTGGGCGGCTCGCTAGGTTAACCGGTGTCAGGAATTAGCCCCAACATTGTTTCGTGGTCCTTCGAGCCGGACGATCGCCGGTCACCCACCCAGTGAGGCGACGAGCAGCGCAGTCGGCCACCCGTCCCGCCTGCAGACACAGCTCGGCCGCCTCCTCCACGTGGCCGCACACCAGCGCGCGGCAGATCAAACTACTCGCATCTGAACACACCACGACAAGCCCAAACTGTAAACTGTATAGTTTATTCGGTCTACAATAGCCTTAAACTACTTTTTAAAATGGTTTACCAGTTCATTAACACACCGCTATGGAAGAAATGCCAAATGACTCAATAACGTCACTGTGTATCACCGGAAAAAGTACAATGTACTACGATCACAATATATTTTCTAAAAATGTTCACAAATGTATACAATTATCCAAATCTATAATTAAGAATGAAATGTATATTTCAATGTTTATAATTAAAACATTCAATTTACTTGGGCTACTTTTAGTTAAATGCAACTTAATTCAATTCACACACTAGTTTAAACGACTTAGCGTTTAGACAATATTTTTACCAACTTTTTATACCACCAAAATATTTTTAGATTCACGAGAAACACTCACCGTCACCGTTGGGTATGACGACGTTAGATACTGTCGGCTCCAAATCGATATTCGCCAGTTTCCTCTCGATTAGGGTGTGAGCCTCCTGCAAAAATATTGAGAGCTATTAATAAAACCAAAAGAAAAGTTTTTTTTTTTTTTTTTTTTTTATATGAAAAGTTGCCAAACGAGCACGATTCACCTGATGGTAAGTGAATACCGCCGCCCATGGACATCTGCTACACCCGAGGGTTACAGATGCGTTGACAACCTTTTGAAGATTGGGCTCCGGCTACCTCACTCACCAGACGAAACGCGAAAGTATTTGTCATACTTCCACTTTACGCCAGTCTTCTGTGAGGTCGTGGTACTTACCCGGACGGGCCTGCCCATTCGTGCAAAAGCCGAGGCTGCTGCGTGGCCCTACCACCGTTATTTACCATCAATCAGATATATGTATATTGAGATCCAATAGTTCCAAAGTATTTCGTGGTTCATGGGCGTTTACGAATTTGGATGTAAGTATGGTCAGGGATCGAACAGGATTAACACCTCAAATAATATAACTATATTTTATAATAATGAAACAGAAGTTCCTAAGAATACATTACCCTTGATCAAGACATATATTTGTTATTCGAAGGAAAAATTATGATAGCCAGTAAGTTAATTGTTTATCTTGTGTATTATTTGCGTGCGTCAGTGTGCGTGTTTGCTTTTGTGGGCGTGTGTGCGTGTGCATGTGCATGTGAGACCGTGTGTTTATCGTTACACGTCAGTGGGCGTGCTGCGTGGCGTGTAAATGTGCGTGGAGTACTGTGCTTACTTGTGTGTTTGCGTGTGTTGTATCTGTGCATGGGTGCGTGTGTGCGTGTGTGCGTGTGTGCGTGTGTGCGTGCACTCACCGAGAGGTCTGTGCTGGTGTCGGTCGAGAGCTCCGCCTCCGTCTCCGTGGACTCGCCCTGCACCCCGTTTAGCTTACACTCAACACCCACATACCAATGGTCTACCGGTATTATATCATGGTTGACCATTAAAATGTAACACACTCAAAAGTAATAAAGTTATATTATGCCAGTGAGTGAAATTAGTTAAATAATTAAAGGAAAAGGAAGAATCAATATACAATAGTTATCATAGAACAACCCAAAGTCAGTAATAAATGCACTAAACTTGAGTATTTATGACCATTAGGAAAATATACGAATATAGATCATGTGCTAAATAGGGAAAAAAACAAAGATACCGAATGAAAATACTCCTTATTCGAAACCTTAAGGGTTTTAATTATAAGCGGTACGTTAATTGATTGTTCGATTAAGACTGGTTAATACGACCTTTGTTAACTTGTGATTAAGCCAAGAGAGTTAGGAGATGGTAAAACTAACCCGACTCAGGGCCGCCAAGTCTGCCGCTGGCGCGTCTCCTGTTGGCTGGCTCTTGAACTTGGACGGGATCTCGTCCTGTCTGAAACCTGTGGGAACAACGCGCTCATTTCATGCATGCAAAAGTTTGTACAACAATTTAGTTATTTATCGCCAACAAAGTAAAGCATCGAAACAGAATTTTTATACAAGGTTTATAAACAGTGATAATTGGTACATTAATTACGGGTAGAGACTACTTTTAGACAATAGAGACACAACAAAAAAAATTAGAATATCAGCACTGTTGATAAAGTAAAGGAAATAGAAACCTTGACTGACATAAGACACATTAAACAAAAAATAGAAAAAGAATTCAAGGAAAAATCTAGTGCCTATATTTAAAATGTCTAAATAACAGAAGTTTTACGTCACGAATAACTAAAAAAAAATTTTTTTTATATTTGTGTATGTCTATTTGTCTGTTCAGGCCAATCTCAGAAAAGGCTGGGCCGTTTTTTATGGTATTTAATTTGAACCAAACAAGATAGTGGCAAACTTGATTCCACCCAGTTAATTCACACCAAATTGTTTATCAACACTTACGATCAGGCAATGTAAAACGTGTATACTAAAATAAATAACTTATTAATAAATAAAATTTTTGCGTAGGTTAACATTTTTTAACAGAATAAATATAAACGCGATGAATCAGTTAGCATAGTTTCATTCAGTAACGCGTGACCGCGTAAATACAAGGGATTGTTAACATCTTTTGCTAAATATCAGTCCGTTCACATAAACACGATTTTTTTATTATTAAAGATTTTATGGCCTGGCAACAAAACTTTTAAGCCAATAAAAAAAAGACGCAGTAGACACGATGGGCTTATCGAGCAAGGAGGTCGCGCTCACCGAGGAGGTTGAGCAGCTCCGCCCTGAAGGTGGGCAGGAAGCTGGCGCGGAGGAAGAACCACGCGTAGCGCTCGCTCTGCTCCGGGGAGGCGTCTCCGCGCGAGCGGCAGTACCTGGCGAGCGGAGACGCGGGCTGAGACTAGTTCCATCGCGAAGCAGAAGTGGCCTCGGCTATTGCCGGCGAGGGCGCGAACCAACCGGTTCTCGTTTACCATGGCAAAGTTATATCATCATAACCAGCCTCCTGCCTATATCACACCCAGATGGGGTGGGCGTAACGCACGAGTCGTGTTGTAACGTGTTGTATCGTGCCTAACGTCACCCCTCCTTGGGAACAAACACCCAGTTTCGGAACAATTATCTGTGCGTCATCGAAATACTTGTTCTGTGGAAAATCGAGCCCTCGGCGCCGAAGCCGATACCTTGGCCACTGCGCCACGGAGTCATCAGGAATAAATAAATAGATTATATTAGTAGCATTATGCTGAGCTGACTACCTCCGTAGCATTATGCTGAGCTGACTACCTTTTGGTCGTCGCATACACCGACTTTGTATTTATTTTCATTATTCGATATTAGGAAAATTATTAATTGTATTTATATGTAAATTAGTTATTTTGTTCTCTTTTTTTTTTTGTAAACGGTGTTTGTGTACGATCAATAAAGATATTCTATTCTATTCTATTCTATAGATAAATCTAATTTGAATCACTTACTCGGCCAGCGCGTTAGCGGCGGAGGGGTCCCTGCTGCGCGTGAGAGCCAGCACCTCGTCCAGCTCTGCCGCCTTCGTGGCCACCTGCGGGTCGCTCACCACCTGGGGACAACCCTCGCCTTCTCAACTGCTCATCTCACCTGGACTTCTGACCCGTGCAAACCCTCAACGTAATATACACTGTGTAGAGTTTGTACGTCGAAGACGTTATTTCAATAAAACTAAAATGTAACGTTGTACACATTATTGGTCGGAAACAGACTGCCGCGCCCGGCAGTACATACATAACATTTTGTATTTTATTTGTCTACCCACAATATACGCTACATCCCTCCACCATAATTACAAACTATATAAAAAGTATAAAACAGATAAAAACAGCTTAATACAACAGAATAAAAAACATAGTATAACAAGTATGTAAACAATTTAACAATTATATAATGTTATCAAAATTTATACTTAGGATTATTATTTCTAGTCGATCTTATAGGATAACGGTGTTCATTTTCGCTCGTTAACAAAATATCATTTTCCGGGATACAATCAACAAACTCATCCTCACATTCCCCCTCTGACGCCAAATTTGGGTTTGACTTTGATGATGGTACATTTTCTCCCGTGTCAGGGTTGAAATCGTAATAATCGCCAAATTCATTATCTATATTGGTACTTGTATCAGAAATATTATTATTAAATGTTACATTTCCCTTATATTTTAATAACTGGTCAATATGTTTCTTTAAAGTTAAATTTAATTCGGGTATATAAACGTTATACATCATTGAACCTATTTTACTTTTTACAATGCCTCGTTTCCAATTATGTTTACAGCCATTATTATAAAAATACTTAACTAGTACACTATCTCCTGAATAAAAAACTGTTCTACGATGCCCACCGTGTTGTTTACTCTGTGAGATCTGTTTAGAACAAACATTGTTATTAGCATCATTGGACAACGAAATTGAAAGCGGATTTGTCGCGGTCATTAAATCAAAACGACATCGTAAGGGTCGTCCTAGCAACAGTTGCGCTGGCGAAAAACCAGTTGTGCAGTGTACAGAATTGCGGTAGTTAAATAAAAATTCATTAATTTTATTTATTATTTTAGCTTGCTCATCATTTATTCCGAGAACACTTTTTAGACCTCTTTTTATTGTTTTCACACTGTTTTCCGCTTGGCCGTTTGATGCTGGGTGATAAGGTGCGATAGTAATGTGTTTAATACCGTTAGATAAGCAAAACATTTCAAACTCCTTTGAACAAAAGTTAGGTGCATTATCGGAAACTAATACTAACATAAGACCAAATCGACTCATCATGTCATATAATTTATTAAGAATAGCCTTTGTATCAGTTGTTGACAGGTAGTAACATTCAACCCATTTCGAATGCGCGTCGACTGCGATTAAATATTGCTTACCGTACAATGTAAACAAATCTAAATGGACTCTCTGCCACGGTTCGTTCGGGTATGGCCACGGAGCGAGCGGAGAGCGAGGCGGAGCGGCTCGCATGTTATTACATACACAACACGAAGCAATTTTTTCTTCGATGTGTTTGTCTATATTAGGCCACCACATACGTGATCTCGCTTCGGTTTTTGTTTTTACTATGACAAAATGGGGCCTATGTAATTCTTCTAGTAATTGTTCACGAAAAACGGCGGGAATTATTAATTTATGACCTCTTAAAATGCAATCATTTTCTATAGATAACTCTAATTTGCAGTTGAAAAACGGTTTAATAATTTCGTCTGATATTTTTCGTGGCCAGCCCTTTTTTATATAATTACTAACTACTTGTAAGGTCTTATCGCGTGCTGTTTCATGCTGAATGTCTTTTAGCGTAATAGGTTTAAAAATTGAATCGTACATAAAATTGATGAATAGTGACTGCTCTGAATCAAACTGTTCTTCATTCTCTGGGGCGCTTCTTGTCGACCGTGAAAGGAAATCCGCAACATTATTTTCGCTACTTATATATTCAATTTTGAAATTATATGCCGATAAAAATAATGCATAACGCTGTAAACGATTAGCGGCTAAGTCGGGTACTCCTTTTTTGTTTCCAAATATCGATAGAAGCGGTTTATGATCCGTCCTTAATAAAAATGGTGTAGTACGACCATATAAATAATGGTGAATTTTTTTATAGCGAAAACAATGGCAGTTGCCTCCTTTTGTATCTGCGCATAGTTTCGTTCAGGCTTGGAGAGCGATCTCGAGGCATAAGCTACTACCCTCTCGGAGCCGTCCGCGTGCCGCTGAGCCAGCACGGCGCCGAGGCCTTCGGGGCCTGCGTCTGCTGTCACTACCGTCATTAGATTAGGATCGTAATGAGCCAATACCCGGTCCGACGACAACTCTTTTTTAATTTCAATAAATGCCATATCATGAAGTCTAGTCCATTGCCATTTCACACCCTTTTTTAATAACGTGTGCAACGGACTTAGAATGCTAGATGTGTTCGGTATAAAACACCTATAGTAGTTAATCATACCTAAAAAAGATTTCAGTTCCGATATATTTTTGGGACATTTCGAATTCATAATTGCTTCAATTTTTTTATTCGATTTTCGCAAGCCATTTTTATCAATTATAAATCCTAAATACTCAACAGAATCCTTAAACAATTCACATTTCTCTTGTTTCAATCTTAATCCTGCGTCTTCTAACTTATATAAAACTTGTTCTAATCGCTGTAAATGAATTTCATCTGTGGGACCGGTAACTAAAATATCGTCGAGAAATATGCATGTACCTTCTATACCATTAAGCAATTGTTCCATTGTTTTTTGAAATATTAATGGCGCTACGCATAAACCGAAAACGAGTCGATTGTACTGAAACAAACCTTTATGTGTATTAATGCATGTAAGTTTTCTAGTTTCGTCTAATTCTAGCTGATTATACGCGCGCGACAAATCTAGTTTGGAAAAACGTATTCTCCCCATGTAATTTTGCAAAAAGGTCCTCAATTTTTGGCAGTGGATAATTATCCATATATAATACCTTATTTAACGTAACAGAATAGTCCCCACATATTCGAATATTTCCATCGGGACGTAAAACTGGTACAATAGGTGTGGCAATATTCGAATATTCGACTTTTTCTAAAATGCCTAATTGGATTAATCGTTGTAACTCTTCTTCTACTTTTGACTTTAGGGCTAACGGAACTGGACGTGGTTTAAAAAATTTTAATTCTACGTCCGATTTTAATTTTAAATTAATTTTATATTTATTAAACTTTCCTAATTCGTCTGTAAATAATTTTTTATACTTTTGTTTTAAAATTTGAACATATTTCTCGCTTTTTATATTATGACAATTTGCAATGCATAGCTCTAAATTAAATTCACTGATAAAATCTCTCCCTAACAAGGCTGGTTGATTAAGATTCGTCGTAATGATAAAAAATTTAATTGATTTTACAACATTTTCATGTGAGACGGGTAATAACAAATACCCCAAAGGTATTATTTTAGTCCCGTTATAACAGTTTAAGATAATGTTACAATTATGTAAATACATTTGACTAAAAAATTCCTTATAAATTCTTTCGGGTAAAATTGACACTGCACTGCCACTATCTATTTCGCACAAAATATTAATGCCAGAGATTGAAATTAACTGTTGCATAGGACTACCGTTGGTACACCTAATGCTAAATAAGTCATACGCACCTTTTACCAGATCGTCATCCGCCGATGTTATGTAATGGTTTCTCTTTACCTGAGCTGAACACATACGTTTTAAATGTCCCGATTTGCCACATTTTTGGCAAGAATAATTAATGAAACGACATTTTTCCTTTGTGTGGTTATTATAACCACAAACAGTACACGGATTATTCTTCTTATTACTTCGTGTTGGTAGTAGCAAGTCAGTAGATGAGCCCGCGATGTTGTTGCGTCGCCCGCCATTATTCGCTTTCAACGTAAATACTTGCTGTTCGGTAGAACTCGACGATGTTGCCCCCGTCGTTTGTAATGCTAATCTAGCACACCTCACACTTTGCGCCAACTCTAACGCCTTGTTAAATGAGAGGGTATCGACATTTTCAGCAAACAATTTCTCCTTTTCTTTCGTATTCTCCAGGCCCAAAACAAATGGATCACGGAGTGCCGTATCTAAATCGTTCTTAAATCCACAGTAAGTAGCAAGACAGCGTACACGAGCCGCCCATTCTGTCAACTCTTCGCCGACCCTTTGTTCCGCTTTGTAGAACTTGTACCGCTCCGCAAATGAACTTCTTTTTGTAATGAAGTGACTGTCCAATATTCTGACTAACTTCGTATAATCTATAAGTTCTAGTTCATCTGGAAAAAACGATGTCCCTTACAGTTCTGTAGGTATCTTCCACTAAGGATGTTAGTAATAACGCTCTTCGCTTGAAACCTCGTTTATCTTGCTCTTCTGTGATATCATTAGCCGCACAAAATTGAGAAAATCGACTTTTATAAATTGCCCATTCTTGAGTTCGGTGATCGAACGTGAGGCTATTTCCAAACATCACATTTTGGTTACACGCCATGTTGTACGATTTACAATCCACGCGTTAAAGTTCAACTCGTCGCCAAATGTAGTGTTTGTACGTCGAAGACGTTATTTCAATAAAACTAAAATGTAACGTTGTACACATTATTGGTCGGAAACAGACTGCCGCGCCCGGCAGTACATACATAACATTTTGTATTTTATTTGTCTACCCACAATATACGCTACACACTGACATATCTCTATCGTAATTATCGTGATTGACCTTTGTTAGCCTCATTTTTAACTTGTATAATTTTAGTATCTATTGTTTTTCGTTACAGTGATAGGATTCAACGCAAGTTCTGGTTAATTATAAATGTGAGACTCTTAACTCTCTTATGTATTATGTTACAAATAATTTTGTATTTATTTTAAATGGCCGTATCTTACAGTAGTAATCCAATAAATAAATTAATAAATGCAATAAACTTTCTTAAGACAACACTGCTTTTATGACATAAATCTTGGCAATTTTATCACATATTTTTGAGCACATACCATACATACCGTTTACATGCCATATTAGTTTAGCGCCATGAGAAGACTTTCCAGTATACCACTCCAATAACAAAAAATTTGTACGACAGGTATTAATTTTTATTCGGTCTATTGCCATACCTGACTAATGTAGACTAATTTCTGTGAGCCGGCCTCCTGTGGACACTTTTCGAAAGTGACGAGTTTGCCTCCGAACTGGAAAAGTATTATAAAGTCATTAATTGATCTTAAAATGTATGACATTGACTCTTTATTATTGTGGTAGAGGCTCGAGGCCGTAGCACGCGGCGCCGGCTGCGGGAGGGAGAGCGAGAGGGAGAGGAGAGGGAGAGCGAGAGGGAGAGGGAGAGCGAGAGGGAGAGGGAGAGGCGAGAGAGGGACGGGGCGTACCGCGAAGCGCGCGGCGGCGGGGCGGCGCAGCCAGCGCGGGGCGCGCACGGGCTGCGGCTGGTGCGCGCGGCCGAGGGCGGGGGCGCGCGCCACGGCCGGCAACGCGTGCAGCGCGTCCGCGCCGCCGAACGACTCCAGCATGCTGCTCTGGCTCTGCGCGCTCTGGAAACGCAAACGCATTCAACGGCCAGTTACGACAACATCAATAGATAGTCGACGACAGTCCGTTGCCCAAAGGGGCCTCGCAGCCGCACCGACCGTCTCGATGGGCGGCGAGGCGAGCAGCGCGTGCAGCGCCACCTGCTGCTCGAAGGAGGCGCTGGCCAGCAGCGCAGGGCTGCGGGGGCACCACGACGCCTCGAACACCCACGCGTCGCTGTGGCTCACCTCCATCACCAGCTCGCCGCCCTGCAACATAAAACCAACAGCCATCACCACCAACAATTTCTTGGGAGCAACTAGCCAAACGTAACCATAAGCAACTGTATTTTGTTGTGTATTACATTTATTTTGCACAAAAGTTTTTAGAAATCCCATGTCCTGTCAGACCGATGTTACAATCCTAAGGTTCCTAGGTATCATCGGATGTTTAGACCAAGTACTATTGTCGTTGGATTTCTTATAAAAAAAAAAAACAATTTTACATATCCAAAAAAATGTTCTTTTAACGAAAACTAGGTTTATATTATCATTCCCACCTAAAAATTGTCTTACCGGCTGAGTATTGTTGGGATTCCAGCAGAGTATGCGGCCGTCTTTACCAGCCGACAATAGAAGATCTGGATCCTGTCGACACCACGAGAGGGACAGCACTCCCTTCTGGTGACCTTCAAGTGTCACCAGTGGCGAGGCGGCCAGTCTGTATGATAAAAATTAAATAGATTTTAATAAATATATACAACAATTACCTGTAACTTCAAATTAAATAACATATATGAAAAACACCACATACAGAAACATATTTTAACGGTTCATGGGACAGTATAAAGCATATAAAATTTCTTATACATACTTTAATTCTTTCTCTCTTCTTTCTAATAAATACATGTAAGTTTTTAGCACTTTTTTATCAATTGCTTGCATATAGAACTATTTATTTAAAAGGTGTCTCATAATGAATACTTTAAAAAATAAAAACTGATTCAAATATGAATTGCTCATTTCACAGCATAATTTAAATCAATGTTTAAATAATAGATTTAATCAATTGTTAGAGGCATGTTATTGAAAAAATTATAATATAGTGCCTTTTTAAATCAATGACCTTTTGATGTTGAAGTTTTGAACATAATATACAGTTGCAATTTCTCAATTACTTACTGTGTGGTATAACTGTGGTAGGGCCACGCAAGTGTTCACTGTTGCACGAATGGGCAGGTGCGTCCGGGTTAGTACCACAACCTCACAGAAAACCAGCGTAAAATAGAAGTGTTACACTTCTGCGTTTCGTCTGGTGAGCGAGGCAGCCGGGGCCCACTTTACATGAAGGTGGCAAAGCATTTGAAACCCTACGGGTGTTGCAAATGTCCACGGGCGGCGGTTATCACTTAACATCAGGTGAACCGCCAGTTCGTTTGCCACTTTCTCACATAAAAAAAAGTTAGAGAGAGTTCTCACCTAAGGTCCCACAGCTGCACCACAGGCACCTGGTCGTCCTCCGAAGCGATGCAGAGCTGGGTGGCAACGGACGGGTGCCACGCTAGAGAGCGCCAGCGAGTACGAGACTGGGCGTCACTGCATCAGAATTAAATTGCTTACTGCCGACATCTCACAACTCCACTACTAGGTTGTTAATCTCCTCTGGAACAGATATGGCTGGACAATTTTATTATCATGACACCCACTATGGAGCCTTTGTTAACATAAGCCAAAAGTTTTGCAGGCACTTAACAGATTAACCTATTTATTTTACTAATTTGCAATGCACAATTAGAAAAAGTAATTATGGGTGGTCTAAATGTTATGATCACTGTACAAAAATTCCTAAAAAAACACACACCAGATAATTAAATTAACATTCATAAGAAATACAAACTGACACTAACTCCGGATAATGTATTACTTACATATTTGAAGAGATTTTGATGGGATTGTGTCATACCTGAGTTTCATAATTGGTTCATTCTTCCTCAAGTCCCAGACAACGCATCTGTTGGCAAATGTAGAGCCCAAAATGTGTTGAACCTGTAACAAAACTAGAGCCTCAATGATAATCACAAGGCTCGTGTTTAAAACCATTATTGAATGTTTTGTATAAGTCTTCGAGCCATAATAGCTCAGTGTACGGGTGCTCACCTTTAATTCAATATACTCCAGCAACCTGAGTTTGATAGCCAGTACGGGTACCAATGAAATTATTGATTTTAAGTGCTGAACTATCACATGCTCAGCAGCTCAGAAACCTTCATATTTTTGAAATAATAAGAAAAAAAATATTTCGAAGATATGTGAAGTCCGTCAATCCGCAGTGGGGCCACATGGTGGACTATGCCCTGTTACCCTCTGCACAGAGGAAATCAGGACGCCTTTTAAACTAAGTGTGCATATACCAAAGTCATCAGTTAAATGATATAACAGTCTTTGTATACAAAGCAGACACCAACAGGCTAAAAAAAATCACAATTACATTAAAAACTTTAAAACATATATCCATATGCCAACCATATAACTCCGTGGCGCAGTTGCCAAGGTATTGGCTTCGGCGTCGGGAGTCGTGGGTTCGATCCCCACACGGGACAACTATTTGTGTGACCCACGGATAGTTGTTTCGCATCTGGGTGTTTGTCAGCGTGAAATTTATGTTTGTTAAATATCCTTACAACACAGGAAAATGTTATCCCAAAGTAAGGGCAATATTTTTTTCATAAATAAAAAAATGAACATATGCTTTTGTAAACAACTTTTCTTCAGCATCTCATTATGTAAAATATTCAATAACTAATAAAACTTTGCCGACTACAGTAAAATGGTAATCAATAACACATAACATGTTTATTGAAGCAACAGTCTGTGTCAACACAAGCCTTCTTATCGATGTTATTTTTTTCTTTATTTTATGTTTAACTATTTCACATTTTCTTACCAAGTATTGGTGCATTATCATGTTGAATAGGAAAAATAAAATGTGTGAAACCCCCATGTGTAAGATTATTTGCAATTAAACTTAAAAACATGAGGAAAGCTTGAATTTACCTGCTGATTCCAAGCCAAGCCTTGAACATGGTCGAATGGCTGATTTTTATTTCCCGGCGCCATTGGCTGACTTGTGTTGTTCAAGTCCCAGATGAAGATTTCACTCTCCGAAGCTCCTGATGCGAGCAGGTTCCTCTGGTAGGGATTGATGTCAAGCGCTGACACATGGCCTGCATGATGTATAAAATTTTAACTACTCTGTTCAGATATAACATAAAGAATGTAGTAAGATATTTATTATTTAGACTTCTATCAAAATTGAAGATTGTCTTTTAACTTGAATAAAATAAAAATAAAATTAAGTGTAAACCTTTATTTAATGTATGCCTAGCAGTTTATTTAATGTATTTATTTATTTTAAGTCAATAATATTTTTATGGCAATTGGCATGTTGACAATTATGTTTCTTCCTCAGACACCGTTATACCAAAAACATCCTAACAATTATATAAATAATTTTGCAATTTTATTACAATATCTTAATTATTAGTCTAAGATTCACTCATAAATGCCAAATATACAACATAAAATAGATATTTAACAGTTTTAGTTATTTGATTGTATACTTTTTTTAACAATAGAACAATTTTCATGTAATGAACCATTTATCAAATAGTAGAAAGACTTGCAGTGATCATGCAATAGAACAAACACACACAAAAAACAAACACAAATAAATTCACACACATAAATTCACTACCATAGCAACTACAAATTTTATGATAACACTATCAGAGCAGAGAGCGGTTGAACAATTAACCAATAATACATTGCCATAAAATTATGTAGGTCAGCATTTACCATGAACAAGAAGTAACAAAGTTTTATTGATTAACAAAAACAACATTTAAATAAAATAAGTATGTTGTTTCTCTTAAATACACAGTATTTTCCATTTTAAACTACTTGGTCTGCTTACCAAGGAGTAAAAAGTACAGAGCAAAAAGCAACCAACAAGGATGTGCAGATATGAAGGCTGGGGCAAGTGTAGGATAGAGAAGTATTTATACTTTAATAATTTGTTGGGCAAGGTAACCTGTGTCAACTCTCTTACTATCTTGTCAATGCAACTGCAATTTCTCAGATCTAGATATATAGGTTATCAATTTAGCTAGATATATAGGTGAGCTGCATGTTAATTGCCACCGTACCCCTTAAAATATATATATATGGATGTGAGAGATGCAGAAATCTATGATCTCTATGTAATAAATTGGTATTTATAATGAATCATCATAACATTCTTTTGAATACAATACCATTATGTTTTGTACTACTTCCAACTAGTGCTTCTGTGGAGTTGCTCAATAATTTCTCAGAATTGTAGAACTGAAGAAGGCCTCCATCACATCCTCCTACAATAACTCCAGCTCCTGACCAAACAAGTTTTTGAAATCTGAAATATATTTTATACCAATCACACATCACACATTAGAATTAGCATATATATTGCCTACTATAAAAACTACACAGTATTCTTCATCAACCATTGTAATAATTTATGAAGTAAAATAGCCATTTAGCCTCAATGATGAATTAAACACTCACTTATGTTGTGCCTGCAAGCTGGATTTAAGCTCTAAATCCATTCCGGGTTCCTCCAAATTCAAGGAGTAAAGTTCCAGCGAAGCATTGGAGCTAAAGGAAGCATCCACTTGCTGAGCAGCGGAGCCGGCCGCGAGCATTATGGGATAATGCTCCGCTGGCGACCAGCTCACATTAACAGTCTTCTTCAGTTCTTTAATCTTCATTTTGAAACCACAATTTCACTGCAAAACACAATAACTCCAATAGATAAATTGCCGTAAACCGACTACACTGCCGAATTATGTCACCAGTACGGATAGAGTAAAACTATCCCAATGTAAACAAAGATCTTTGGTTTTGACTCGTCAGTGTTTTACTGATGTACCAAAATAGGTTTTCTTATTAAAATGAACGTAATAACAATATTGTTACACGATATTCACCATAAAAACACCGAGTTGGCACTTCCAACGTGGCTGACGTAAATATTACCGATTTGACAGATTTCTTAGCCAATTACAGATTAAAAATAATTATTGACAAGTTACCTTTAAATGTCAAGTAGCGCGATCTTTTTTTGTGCAGTTTGCTGTTATCCCGATGGCGTTGACGGCTTCATCGGAAGAGGTCTGCAGGCAGATGACTCGCGAACTCAGGAGAACAATGTAGTGGATGCACGACGACGAAGCGATGGCACTATCCGCACCGCTACATCTCCACATCCCTTGTATTGTAAACGTAAGATTGTCATTTGGAAACTAAGGGGGCGACACGGACACGACACGGTCCACGGGTAGATAGAGATTAGAGCTTGGAACCTCGGCTTGGACTAATCATTAATGGTCCCTATTCAGAGAAAGCAAAATTACGATAGAAACACGAGACATAACATACAATTTGTTTACTATAATTAAATTATTTAAGAAAAACAAGTTTTCCGAAAATAATGCCTGTAAGAAAACAATAATGTACGAAAGTGAAAAGTTTCATAATTAACTACGTAACACGCTATTAAATAACAAGACAAAAATATCGTGTTCAGGCTGTGAATAGTGGAACCTCACGTTTGTTGCCGAACGTGCTGTGCCTACTATCGATTTGAGAGTGAATGTGGTGTTTGCCGGACTAAGCTCGTTGGCGCATATCGGTCAGTCAACGACGCATTATCGGAAAGCGGCAAGAGAGTTAAATTGTTAAATGCGGTCGTCAACTTGTTGGGACCGTCGAAAACGTTTATAAGATAGTGCCATCATGGATGCACAGCACAAGCGAAAGACTACTAATGTTTACTGACACCAGCTTTATTGTCTGCTTCTTTGTAAAAAAAACAAGTAATCGTAACGGGGAGCAATATTCGTGACAATTTTTTATTGGCACTGCACCGAAGATGTCGGTAAAACATTCCGTTGCCCCATCATCTTGTTCCTTACATAGGGTGAGTGTGGGGTGAGATCGTGAGTGTTGGATGAGATCGAATGAAATAACTTCCCGGAAATAAATGGCATATAATGACTATTTACAATAAGCCTAACCGATGGCACAGTATCTGCTATTATAGAAATGGAAATCTGTGAGCCGGAACGGACCCAATATTAAATTCGAGTGTCTGTTAGAGCGAACGTCAATGATGGATCCGCAGTGCCACAGATTATAAAGAATGCGAATATATCAGAAAACAATTTACAAAAAAAAAATGAGTTAAAACATTTTACTTTATTCATCACTGAAATATTTAAAATACAACAGACTTTTCAAATAGTAATATGTCAAGTAATAATTTCAATAAACGTTGTGTATAAAAGTTAAACCAAGTATTAAATCTATAACCAAATATTATAATATATCGTCCATGTTACAAACTTAATGAGACCTTTATAATCACATTGTGTTACTATAGCAACAGCATAACTATTTCATTTTACATGTAAAGGTTTTTTTAAAATAATTTAACCAAATAAAAATTTATGTTAAATAAATAACTATTATTAAAATGCTGGCAGCGTTTGGTCAGTAAAACGAAGAGAGAAGATGTCAATAAATTATTTGTCAACATTTAAGCACGCAAGTCCCATATACATCTTCATTTGAAAATATAAAAAAAGCATAGAATTCGAACCGTACTAGGAAAAAAGAAAAGGTATGTAACGTAGAAAAATTGGTAAATGTAAATAACTTTAACTCCGACGTAATTCAATTAAAATAAATTTTATACGATAGAGAAAAGTCTCTAATGAATTAATCAACAAGCAGAATTTGGCGGTCGCTTATAGTTTTCGAGAAAAAAAATATTTTAAAACTTGTTTTTTGTACTAAGAAATCCACCATTTTATTCGTTTGACTTCAAAAGTTCTTTACACAGTTCTGCCAACATGATAAATATAGGAAGCGGGCGACATCATACACGTATCGATATTCCAATTTTTTAAATTTAATGAGTCACAGAACCGACACAGAGCGAATCCGACTCGGATAGATTAGGTTAGAAGGTTCAGGCGATTCAGACAGTTCAGAGGTTAACCTTCGATGTTAGGTTTTTTTTTTATGACCACCAAGAAATACGAGCTGAATTGACATATTGACAACAAAAAATGGCGGATTTCTATAGTAAAAATCACACTATTTCATTATTTATTTTTTCGAAAACTATAAGCGACCGCCAAATTCTGCTTGTTGATAAATTCATAAGTGAGTTTTCTCTATCGTTTAAAATTTATTTGATTTGAATTACGCCGGAGTTAAAGTTATTTACATTTACCGAAAAATTAATTAATTACCAAAATTAATATTGAAGGTGATGTAATTTTGTTTTTAAAAGTAAACAGGTTTTCAGGACTTGTACGCATAAAAAAATTGATTGCCTCTAACAATAGATGATGCATATCCATACAGTGCGGTGTTTATAAATTGTTCCGCTTTACGTAATATGATATTATTTAGGTGAACGTGATATGTAGAACGTGTGATACAAAAAGAGATAGCAGTCTATATAATTGCAATCTTATTACGCCAATTGGCGTAATTTGAGTGCCTCATAAATGTATCTACTTCGTATTCATATATAATAATCATTGGCCTCTAAGATATTTTTCTTTTTATTGATTGATGTATTGATGTAAAATGTTGAAACTTCACTACTACTACTTATTTTTAAAACCACAGTACTTATTTATTTGTAAACGATTATTTAACGGTTTTAGACATCGCCATGCCAATAGTGATGGGCAAGGAAGAATGGTCGCGCATCGTGAGCTGGACGGACGCCGGTCGAGAGAACGCGGAGTCTTTACGGAAGAAAGAGTACATCCAGTACTTGCACGACACCAGCCGCGCCATGACTAAGTCTTGGCCCAACTCCTTGGAGGTTACATTCGTCTTTTTATACATCGAAGTGTTCAATATGAGTTATAACATAGGACTTAGCTGAACATTAAAACATGTAGAAAAAGTACGAAAAGATTGTCGCCGCTGTGGGAATCGAACCCACGTCTTCGGCATTCGCGGCCTGACGCTCTAGCCACTGAGCTAAACGGCTGATAGCCACAGCGACGAAAATCTTAACGCTTTCTTTCTACATTGTTATATAGCATTTGAAGCAATGCTTGGCGCATTTATTGTTATATCCTTTCCAGCATACAATGTTCAATCTCAAGTGCAGAGATTAGCACTATAAAAAAAATCTTTAAAATTTATAAAAAACACAAAAAGGGAAAAAAAGTAAACACGTAATTGTGAACAGCTCCGTGTATTTAAATTAAATTTAATACAGTTTTCGTTTTGATTCATTATAGATTCAGTGTAGTTGTTTAAAGTATTGTGTTTTAAACTTTATTTTATATGTAAATTATACATTTCTTGAAAACTCACCGCCTGCCAGCTATTACCTGTTCATCGCAATATTTTGCCTACACTAATTTTTCACCAAAATGTCCAATTTGTCGGAGATCATATCCACTCAAAATAGACTTGAGGAGAACATAACCAAGCGATTTGATGATTTGCAAGCCCAAATTTCAAACGCCGGGTCGTCGAAAGACACTGTAGCAAGAATTGCAGAAGAACTCCGGTCCTTCAGGGAGATAGTTTCCGGTATTCTCGGTCTTCTTCGGCAACAGATCAAAGAATGCGTACGGCAGGTAGATGAAATTGACACCAGATCGCGGAGGAAAGCTCTTATCATATCCGGAATGCCAGAGAAAGACAACGAAGACTGCACTCAACGGGTTCTTGAAGTGTTTAATAACAATCTTGGTCTCAGTGACATTTCCAAGTCGTATATAAAATCGTGTCACAGACTAGGTACACCAAGTAAAGAACGTCACCGACCTGTCTTAATACGGTTTACAAGCGTGGACACTAAATTAGTGGTCTGGAAGAATAAGACTAAATTAAGGGTTCTTCACTCTCTCTCAAGGAGTTCCTGACAAAAACCAGGCAAGCCGTTTTCAGCAGAGCGCGTCTTCACTTTGGTATGCGGTATGTTTGGTCCCAGAGTGGTGTTTATAGTGGTCAGGACATCAGACGCCACAATCCATAAACTCACTTCTGAGGAGGAGCTGGTTGTCCTTACCACAAAATATCCAAAGGCGTCCGGGAAGCCGTCGAAGTAACAGTGCGTGACATGAAATCTTTAACGAAAACAATAAACGATTGAACTCATTTTTACAACTTTGCTACATTATTTATACATTGAAAAACAAAATAGGGTAAATGTAAATAATAATAGTAACGACTTTCGTATTACTTTTTTTATAATATTATATTACAAAATTTATTGTACTTAACTTTTGGAAACAAACAATCATCCGCCATATATATATACGTCATTGTTGTTAATTTTTATTTTACTGTCTCTTGTTTTGTGTTATGTTTGCTATGTTACTTTTCATTTTGTTTTAGTCTAGATTCATATTAACTTTCAAAATTTGTTTTGTTTCGAGACGTTTTAAAGGATAAATATTTTGTTTGGTTATGACAGCTCTTTGTTTACAATTATTCTTGTTACCGATTGATTGATCGACGTTTCGCAATAGCTATGGCTGGATAGATTAAAAATGAGCGTTCCGTTTCAATATTGTTACTGATTATTGTTTAACGATCTTGTAGTTTAAAAAATAAGTTATAGTTTTTTTTTCCTTTTCCTTTTTAATCATTTAAGCACTGTAAGACTTTGTTTTTTTTTGTTGTTAATCTTTTTTTTACTGTTATTGTTTTATTTTAATAGGATTGGTTATGCTGGCGGGTGGTGCTGAGATTATACTTAGCATCACTAATTTTATTACGCTTTTAATTTTTGTTTTTATTTCCATTTATATATATACATATATATATTTTAAATAATTATATTTTATATATTTTTATCCATGTCTATAATATCTGATGATGATAGTTATTTTTCTGCAAATGAAACTGCCGAATCCATAGCTGATGATAGCTTCAGCTCGGTATGCGGATCACTTGGTGATTTTTTTTAGGTGCAAAATTCTCAGAAAGTCCGTGTTACCTATTCAATATTTGCCATATAAACGCGCAAAGTGTTCCAAGCCACTTCGATGACTTCTACGATACATTCTCCAACTGTAATGTGCAAGCCATTCTGATTTCTGAGAGTTGGCTCAAACCTCATCTTTCATCCTCCATGTATTCCCTTCCTGGCTTTATTTTAATCCGTAATGACCGAATAGGTAAGAGAGGAGGAGGAGTCGCCATATATCTGAGAAGCGATCTTCCTTATACAGTGCTGGCCTCATCCCCTCAGAATTCAACTACTGCCGAATTCCTTTTCCTTGAGGTCACGGTTAAATGTGCCAAGATAATAATTGCCGTTATATATTGCCCCCCATGTGTTGACTATTTCACCGATTTTGGAATTGGTCCTAGAATCTTTGGGTTTGGAGTATGTTCACCACGTTATTATGGGTGATTTTAACACCAATCTCCTAGATCCCAATTCCCCACGTTCCCGTAAATTCCTACACATAGTTGAGTCAAGTTGTTTAAACCTTCTAACCCTCCAAGCCACTCATCATAACGTCTCAGGTGAAGACACTTGGCTTGACTTAATCCTCACATCCAATCCTTCCCTGGTTTCAACTCATGGACAACATCCCGCTCCTGGATTTTCACATCACGATTTAATTTACCTATCCTACATTTTAAAACCTCCTAAGCCAAAACCCAAGGTTCTGTACGTGCGTTCTTTTGCTAGGATGAACGTCGACAAACTTCTAAATGATGCGGCTAAAATCAAATGGGACTCCTTGGTAAACGCAGACAAGTATTGATGAGAAGGTTGACATTTTTAATGCCCTGGTCACCAAGCTGTATGATGTTCATGCTCCTCTCAAGGAAGTTAAGGTGAAGCGTCCGCCGGCACCTTGGATGACTAAGGGTATTCAGATTGCTAGGGGACGTAGAGACCGTGCCTTTCGAAAATTTAAAAAACTTTGCTCCAATGAAAATTGGTCTCATTATAAATTAGTCAGAAATCGATGTAATCAGATGATACGCAATGCTAAACGCCGTTATATCCTAGATACCATTTATTCGTTAACTCCTGCCGGTATTTGGAAGTTCCTTGGGACTCTAGGCATCGGCAAGTCGCGTGTATCAAACCTCCCCGTCTCTATTTCTCTGGATGATTTAAATTACCATTTCTCTACCACTACTTCAATGGATCACTTGGCGATATCTGATACTATTCTTATTTAAATGGTTTGACGCGTCTCAATATTGATATGTTCTATTTTTCTCCTGTCTCTTCTGAAGAAATCAAAAAAAAAACAATCCTCTCTATCAAATCTAACGCAGTTGGATGTGATAACATTGGTCGACGTATGATTATTCCCATTCTTGACCATCTACTCCCTGCTATATGCCATATGGTTAACTTTTCACTAAACTCCAAGTCATTTCCAGCTATATGGCGTAAAGCTTGGGTAAGACCTCTCCAAAAGTGTTCTAACCCTACTCTCCCTACCCACTATCGTCCTATTTCTATTCTGCCCTTCCTCTCCAAAGTAATTGAGTCCTGTGTCCATAAACAACTATCCTGTTTTGTTTTTAGAAACAACTTGTTAAGTCCTTTCCAATCCGGATTTAGACCTGGTCATAGTACCACCACCGCTCTCCTTAAAGTGACTGGCGATATTAGGGCGGGCATGGAGGGATCAAAGGTTACCGTCATGGTTCTTATTGATTTTTCTAACGCCTTCAATACCGTCAGTCATGATATCCTGTTAGCCATCCTCTCCCATATAATGGTTTCTGACGAAGCACTGGAATGGTTTTCCTCCTATCTTCGAGGGCGCCAGCAGGCAGTCAATAATGGTGATTCCTCATCACGTTGGCTTAGTCTGATTAATGGTGTTCCTCAAGGCGGTATTCTATCCCCTCTGTTATTCTCCGTTTTTATAAACTTTATCACTCATAATCTTCGCTGTGCGTATCATCTTTATGCCGATGACCTGCAGCTGTATGCTCAGGCATCAATCGATACTCTTAATGAGGCTATTCTTAAGCTCAATGAAGATTTAGTCGCCATTAAGACCTGGTCAGATAAGTTTGGACTGACTGTAAATCCGACCAAATGTCAAGCCATAATAGTTGGGAGTTCCCGTACTGTTAGTAGAGTAAATTTAGTTAGCCTTCCACCGATTATTTTTGACAGCTCCCCCATCCCACTACAAAATAAGGTTAATAATTTAGGTTTGCTCATTGACGGGACGTTTTGTTGGAGAGATCAAATAGCTAGTGTCAGCCAAAAAGTCACTAATGTCTTGCGCTGTCTTTACCGTCTCAAGAATTTCCTGCCGTTGAAAACCAAAGTAACGCTCGTACAGTCCTTAATTTTTCCTTTAATCGACTATGGTGACGTGTGCTACTTCGACCTGAATACAGATCTTTCTCAATAAACTCGACCGACTTCTGAATAACTGCATTCGATTTGTTTTCAATCTCCGCAAATATGACCATGTATCGTCTTATCGTTCACAGCTAAACTGGCTAACCATACGACAACGACGCTCTTTAAGAGCCTTGACCACACTTTTTTCTTACCTTGATTCCCCATTTACTCCTTCTTATTTAGCTCCCCACTTCCAATACCTTAGTTCAGTCAACACCAAAAAATCTTCGCTCTAAACACAATCGCCTTCTGTTCTGTCCTCCTCATCAGTCTGATTTTATCCATTCCTCTTTCTTTGTTCAATCTATCCTTCTTTGGAATGAGCTTCCTCCCAAAATCAGAATGGCTAAGAATCGCCTTGCTTTTAAGACAATGGCACGGAAATACATTTTGGGAAAGCTGCCAGCAGTTTCATGATATCATCAGATAAAAATTATGTATGCGTATTTGTGTATATATTTATGTATATGTATATATTTATAGTACAGTATATATATATTTATATATGTAAACTTTTATTTAATTGTATTGTATTATGTATATATTTATGTGTAATTAGTAAAATATTTATATTTTAAATGTTTGTGCACCTACCTCAAAGTCTCGGTACCACCCTAAGGTTGACTGGTAGAAAATGCTGACAGCATTAAGTCCGCCTATGTACAGAGTTATGTGCATGAAGTCTTAAAATAAAATAAATAAAATAAAATAAAAAACAATGGCGACATCTCTCGTTCGAATTATCGTTGTAAAACGATATTCGAAATTGTTTGTATGCTGGAAGGGATATAACAATAGATGCGCCAAGCATTGCTTCAAATACTAAATAACAATGTAGAAAGAAAACGTTAAGATTTTCGTCACTGTGGCTATCAGCCGTTTAGCTCAGTGGCTAGAGCGTCTGGCCCTCCAGGTACTATTGTATAAATGAAGCAAAGCAGCGGCACCCTTGTAGCTGAGATGTTGGAGTTGCGTGGGAGTAAATGGGCGGTAATCTCCTTTGGGGGTACCAATATTTTCCCATATCTTAAGGTCGATAATTCGCGCGTACCAAAAACTATAAATAGGTATACATCCATGAAACCCTGTCACATAGTTCATGTCGTTCAAGTTTGTACGTTCAGTAAAGTCAGAAATTCGATTAATATCGTAACTTTATTGTAAAGTGAAAGTAATTGGGCAAGCATTCTATCGTAATTTCATCGGTGCCGGCACCGGGGATCGAACTCGGATTGCACGAGTATATTGAATTAAAAGGCGAGCATTCTTATCACAGCCTCTTACACTTTACAACACTCGGTATCCTAATTGTAGACGCGTTTTCCACTCGACCGGTACACGGCGCCAGGGACGCCATGTTCAAGAACAAGGACACGCCCAAGATGTTCCTGCGGTAAATCAACATGAAACGTAGACCGCACAGGACCCCCGACTCGCTTGAGTGATTCGCCCAAATCTTTTCCGTCCATCCAGTGTCCGTGATTGTCGAGCTGGTCCGTGGTAATAAAGAGATTATTACATTAGCGATTCTCAGAGGACTGTCCATTATATTTCCTTGGTCTATTTTATTTGGATTGTCCATTATATTTCCTTTGAATGTTAAAGGTGAAAAATAAAGTGTCGATTTAACAAAAATAAAAAGAACACGTTTTCTGGCCATGA